TGAAAGCCTTCGACAATACAATAATTCATGTGTTCTTACTAGGATCAACGCTTCAATAACCATGGTTTTTGTTTCTACAGTTTTTTTTTCAAGAATGTAACCCCTGAGGATAACAAAGATTGAGTTTAAGTAAGAAGAAACAGTGGTATTAGAACTCAGCATCATTTTTTTAGGTAGTGGCAGTGAGATTTTAAACTCTGTTAATTTTTTCCCCAAAATAATAAATCAGGGTTTGCCACATGGAGAACCTGACGCTTCTGATACTTAAAATAAATAAAATATGTTCAGTACCCCAGTATCAGTTTGTATAAATTGTTTATTTTCTATGCAATTGTTCCTTTTAAAGTAAAATTTAAAAATTCTGCCTTAGAACTAGAGATTTGCATGTCTGTTCAGATTAGTTTACTTTGCAGTAGTCAGATCTGCAAATTACCCTAAGTTGTCCAAAACTTCATCTATGGCCTGACCATTCTTTTAAAAAAAGGCTTTAGCAGTATCCCTAAGAATCTTCAAGAGAACTTCATGTACTTGCTTGATTTGTGCAATTACTGAGAAAATATTTAAAATTCAAACATGATTTTAAATTTTCCAGACAGTAAAGAACATAATCACCAATAATGGTGGTAGATTTGGAGAAAGCTTGGCACTGGCACCTCTTAGAAAGGTAGAATAGATGAACAACATAGCAAATACTGGATTTAATCATCAGATGATCCAATTTCTGTAAACTGTAGCAAATCAAAACTTTATATACTTTAGAGCAGTATAAGGAGGGTGGGATACAGTCAATTTAAAAAACATAGAAAATACATCACATTCTGGAGTTAGAAGGTACCACTGAGGTCATCTACTCCAACTCTCTGCTCAGTGCAGGACCCACTAAACCATCTCAGACAGATGCCCATCCAGCCTCTCGAGGCCTCCAGTAAAAGAGAAGTCACTGATCATGTGGCAGCCTGTTTCACATGAGAGAAGGTTACTGGACCAGCTAGGACAGGCTGCCATTGACACCCTCAAAATACATGTTTACCTATGTGGATGATACATCTTGTTAGCTATCAGTAAAGAAAGCAACAAGTCATGATGCATCTTCTAATGCTATGCCAGTAGAATATTTATTGCCCCTAGGCAATATATTGTATTGAATTGAAGAATTTCACCATTGTAGAAAAACTTCTTTCTATACAAATTCCAATATCTCTATCTTATTTTTTTCTCTCTCTTAGCAGAGATGAGCAACTTTGAATTTGCTTCTAAAGCATTTACAGTAATCATGCAGAAATGAATGATACACAGAATTAAAGCAAAACAACATAGATTTGTGGGAAAATAATGTCCAATTTGCTATTGGGTGTTTGGTAAAAGTTTATTAATTTGAGAAAAAAGATCTCTGAAGTTGGTGCAGCTTACTGTATAACATTACACTATAGATTAAGAATTAACACTATTACTGAAACCTCTGTATGGTTACTGTCTGCAAGAACTTCAGTTTCCGCTAACTGAACTGATTCAAAATTGGAGATGTGGAATATATCTCTCTGAAAGCTCAAGGTGCTGAACAGTTTTTTAAAAACTATCTGCACACTTTGTTCAGATGGGAACTGGAGTCCTGTCCAACCCATTCTGGAGGGCATCAGGTTAGGAAAGGCTGAATAAATCACTGATGTTACTTCTTGAAGCAAATTCTTGTATCTATACCATTTGCATACAAAAATTTTTAATTGACTCCAAAGCAGATGGATAGACTTTCTCAGATTATTGCACATCTACAAATAATAGTCAGATGGACAGCTGAGATTAGCTCCTATTTACTACTGTCAGTTAAGCAAGTTTTTTTTTTCTCAGTTACCCCTTTTAACCAAGTCATTGCCCTCAGAAATTTATCTAAGCATTGTTTTTTCCTCTTTTTCACACATGACTTTTTTGACAATTGCCCAGCCACAAATCCTCTTATAACTGCTTGTGGGTGGTACAGTTGGCAGCTTGAAGATATTGTTATTGTATTGTTGAAGGCTTTCACGGCCAGAATACGATGGCTGATGTGGATCTTCTGGGCTGCGTGGCTGTGTTCTGGAAGTTTTGGTTCCTAACGTTTCGCCAGCATCTGTGACCGGCATCTCCAGTGGATAGGAGCACAGACGGGCGGGGCATTCTCTATGACGCGTGTGATGTCAAGCCGCTCTGGTTTTTTTTTATATACTCGTGAG